TGTTCCACCACCAAAATTTTGTCGCACAGTGTAATAAAAGTGATGTACGAGGATGTCGAACTCTCAGTTCTTTAAAAGGAAAGCATAAGCTAACCATTTCGCACCAACGTGATATTAAGGGAACCCCCCCCCCCCCATTCTCGATTTTTTATTTTTAAGATTTTAAATGGGCTGGTAAATGAATACCAATGCTTGTTAAGGTTTGTAACTTTGCACATATATATTTGAAGATTTAAAGAGGAAGAAAAATAATTTACAAAAAAATTTTGTTGTTGTTTTGTTGTTGTTTTTTGTGATCAAAGAAAAGTCCTTATTTTTGATGGCGGGCATGATAACTCCTCACTGGAACGTCGGAATCCGAAAATTCCAACGGTGTTAGAAAGAGTACATGTCTGGCTCTCGTATGAACTAGGATTATTGACTTCGCTCTAAAATTAACGAAATGGCGGACCTTTGAAAAAATATTTTTGGAAAATCGCCGATTTTTTACCAAAAACCAAGTTAAAAAATAAGGAAGATCTTCACCGATTGGCTTTATCCTAGTTCATACGATAGCTATACACTCACAGAGAAACGTGTAAAAATTTGAAATCGATTGGGTTATTAGTTTTTGAGTTATCGTGCCCGCCATTCGCAAAAAAATGTTTAGAGAAAAACGCGTTTAAAGTTTGAGAAGCCCTTCAGCCGTCACCTGATGCTGACACAATAAATCGGCTATATCTTCAAGAGTTCTTGAGATTTTTACTTGAAATTTTGCAGGGACATTCTTGAATTAGTGTAGATTGGAATTAAGTCAACAAAAATTTTGACCCCGAGAATGGGGGGGGGTCCCCTTAAAGCAAGGATTCCCTCTACAGCCCTCCTGTTCAAAACTGTATTGGATGAAATAAAAGGGTACTATTTTTAATAACAGAGTATTTCTGCGATCGATTTTCAGCATATTGACATATCATTCTGATAATAATAATATGTGAATTCTTGCTTCATCCTAATTAATTTCATAATTTATGCCCTTGTCTAATTTTGGTTATTCTAAAATTATGCATCTCAGTTTCAAATCACATCAATAATTTGATCTCCATTTCTTTTGCCGGTCAAAAAATTATAAATTATAATATAACAAATATAATGGTCTTATGAATTATTAAAAGGGAACTGAAGTGGTCGAGGGGGCTATACGGTACTATTTTTGAGTAGAAAAGGACTATTGAACTAAATTTTGCATCCTTGCTCTACCGACGACAACTCAAAGACTCAGATTATGAGGATGATATCTGTCTTATCTCTCCCAAGAAATCCAATATGCAAAATTAGAAAACCTCTCTTCAGGTCTTTAACTTGGGAGGTGGCTTTTAGGATATACTTTTGGACGTGGTTGTAAATTTTATACATATATTCAGGAAAACCAAACTTAAAATATTCGAAGCATACATGAAATCGATTCTGCTGTACTTAAAAAAATCCATTGCATAACCAGAGTATAGCTTGAATGGAATCCCCAGAGAATTAAACGAAAAAATGGGAGCTATGTCAAATTTCGATGGTGGAGGATTTTTTGGGTAGAACCTTCAGCATATCGAAAATGAGCTGGGCCATTATATGACTGTCATGTCAAGACATTTTCCTATACCGAAACGTGGACTGATATATTCCATTTTTATTACCAAACATTATAGATTTAGTGATAATTTCATATCTCAATCTTATCAAATAGAAAATCCATTCGCACTCCATTTTGACCTTTTGTGAGGGAGGTACCAGAAAGTATGGACAGAAAGTTTTCATCTTCGAACTTGATCTAAGTTTGGAGAGAATATTACATTGTAGATATTTATAAATCGACTCTAATTTGTCTGAAACGGATTTAGTCGAAAGATATTTGGTTTAGGTAAATTTCGTATCAAAGTCCAGTTAACACCATATTTTACCTGACGCCATCTGGCATTTCCATTAAAACGTTTAATATTGCCCCCTGTTCCGTTTGAGCAGCGTAAGACGATCAATTCAGGTTAGTACACCACATTTTTTTGTCTGAAGTAGGTAGAATTTTGAGGTTTACATTATTGGGAAAATTTGTTTTAGGATATTACGCGAAGTTCCAAAATGTTCCAATGGTATTGATCCGGACTAAACTCTTTATACTCCATAAGGTGGAAACCCTAAATCGGTCGAGGCCCAATTTTATTTCAAAGAATTTTTTTATTACAAAGAATCAATATATCGGAAAGTATATTACAAATGTCCGTGCGTCTGTCTGGCCGGCTCGTGCGCACGATAACTCTCGAAGGGATTAACTGATTTCATTCACACTTTGCACATCTTAATATTTCTTAATATTCCGAAGACCTCTTCAAACCATAGGCTGTGGGTATATATCTGTCGGCAAACACCGATTGACGCTTTTTTACTTTTTTTATTTTAGATTCTCATTGAAGCGAAAATCTTCATTCCAAATTTTTTTAATATTGGCTCATGTTTCCGGATTGTCCCCATATAATGGTATGTTTGGCTTGGACAAGGTTTTCAACCGAATTTCGTCTTATATTGATTTGAAATGTTCTCATGCGGTGTAGTGGCTATAATTTGGCATTCCGGGACATATATGTTATATTGAAGTTCCTTCCCAGTTTTTCAACAAGAGTTTCTTAATTCGGAACATTATTTTTTAGAGCATGAACAACATTCTACCACATAATACAATAACATAGTCCCCATACCAATTTAAAAAAATAGGGAATGCACACCATCTTCGATCCGGTCGAACATAACGTTTTTACTTGTTCGGATTATCATTGGGTAGAAAATTTCTTAACTAAAAACTATCAATATAGCCCCCATATAACGCTACCACCATTATTTCGTATTTTGGGCACGTTTTTCAACCGAAGTATATGTATAAATATAGTTTTGGATTACAATCATTCTTACTAAAAATGACAAGTATCGGTCCAAAACTATGGTAATGGTAACACATTATGTTCGATTGATGTTTAGGGTTTTCAATATAAGTCCATACAAAAATCAAGCCTCATTTTCGGTTCGTTCGAAGTCCTAGGCCAATTTTCCAACCAGAGTGTCTGTGGTTTATAATTTTTTGTCAGTTTTGTCAAAACTTTATTGAGATTTTGGTAAAAAATAGCACGTATGTTGGGTACTAGCCAAAAAATCGGTTAATATTTAGCTGTTGAAATCGACCTAAATCATTTTTCTGAACTAATCAAAAATTCTCGGTATAAATCAACACTTTGAAGTATTCCCGATTTAGTGTTACCTCACCATTTAATCTTCTTACAACATTGTAAGATAACTATAACTATTTTGTCAGGGTATTATAGCTTTGTGCAGGCCCAATAGTTTGTAACGCCTTTAAGTACCAATCTTCACGAAAATTTGCATGTAGGATGGGTTTTGTCCAATGAAGACACCTATTAAAGATCGATTAATGTTTAATGGACCAAAAACTATATTTTTGTCTGATTTTCTGGTCGCTCCAGAGACCGTAATTATGGCCCGAACATCGAAACTTTACATGGATAAGGGGATCGGCCAAAGAATAAGCATGTCTGTTTTGATAACGATCGGATACAGACCCGAGAAGTTGACAGTATATCCAAGAGAAGAATAAGCATGTCTGTTTTGATAACGATCGGATATAGACCCGAGAAGTTGACAGTATATCCAAGAGAAGTGGTTGACCTTTAAATTGATACCAATTATGTGTGGGAGTTATACCTAAATATTTACAGGTGCTTACATATTCGTATACTATTTAGTAATCTATTACCACACTAGAGGGCGAAAATATAGAGCTGTATTTTTTGAGTCCATCTATAATCCACAATTAAAAGCCGAACATCACAACACGACCTGCGGTGAAGGGAATCTGGACAATATGTCGGTGTAAGGAGGTGGTGCTGTTGATCTCTAATCGGTCAAGAGGGTGCAAATATCGCGAAATATTGCCCACGCTCAGAATATAGAACCACAGAAAGTTCGATTTTCGTGGAAGTTGTGTAGGGTATCATATGGTCGGCCCCGTCCGACTATTTTTTTATTGCCTTGTTTATCACTTTCTCCAATATTTTGGTAAAGGATAATAAATATAGTTTCGTTTCATTTGTGCTGAGGCCAGTTACATTCTTAAGAAGAAATCGTATTTAGTTAGCACGAAATGTTCTGAATAAAAATAAATAATTAAACTGTAAAATAAATAATAAAACTGTAATTCGATCTAATCCTTAGGTTGCTCATCATAATATTGAATTTAAATATGTGATATATTGGACCACTGACTCTGATAACTCCCCGGATGGTGGACAATTTGAATACATTTGGTGAAGTTTAGGACCTATAATTTTCATTAAATAGTAATTCTAATAGTCTCTCTTTTTAAGAGTATTGTTGGGACCTTAGATTAGTAGATTCAGCGTCCACATATAGTATATAATAACGAACTTTAATTAAATTTTTATTTTTTTATTTCATTCGGCATTTGTACATGCCTTCACATCTCATTGGTCGACACAACTTAAGTAAAATAAATAAATTAAATAAATACATATTTTTCTTCTCGTTTTTCACAAATAAATAAATAAATTAAAATAAATAAATAAATAAATAATCTTTTTTCTTTCACATTATTAAATTAATTTAAACAAATAAATAATTTATGGTTTAATAAATAAATATTTCTTCTTACTTCCTTAATGTCTCATTTTTATGTCTTTCAATAAATAAATAATAAATAAATTACCTAATATATAAATATCAATAAATAATTTATGCTAATTTATATACTTATGTATGTTGGTGTGTGTGTGTTTGTTTTGTGTTCATTCATTAAAAGATTTATACTTTGTATAAATCTTGGCACTAAAAATTACTAGACCGTTATATGGCCTCCTCTTCTAGGCTATTTTCCACTGCAGTGTGAGTGGGTCTGTGTGTTGGATGCCTTCGTCTTTTTCTTTTGCGTATCCTTATCTCTATTGTGTGCTGGCCTTCAGTTTACGTCTACGGGCATTTTTACCCATGGTAATGGCACGAGCAACAGTCTCCACAAATGTATAGCCATCATTGCCATTGGGTTCGATGTAGGAGGCGGGCAGCACAAAACCGAAACGACCAGTGTCACCCATTTCAATTGTATAGGCATATTTGATACCGGCAAAGCCCTTAGCCCAATCATCCGAACCACCAGCAGCTGGGTACAAAGTGTGAGCCGAGGAGCCAACTGTGTATTTAACACCACTGCGGCGGGTAATGGTCTAAAAGAAAGGAAACAAAAACGAAAACAATTATTACTGTTTACCCTCCATTTAGCAAGACAATGGAAATAGTTAAACTTACCGTTCCTGCTTGACGTCCCACCAAATCCAAATCAGCCATATCTTTGGTAATATGATAATCATAACCCCATGGATACAAAATGTACTGACCATAACTGTGGAATGTCAAATAGGCCTTGAAGGTATCGCGTGGGAAATTGCTAATGTATTTGGAAATGTAGAATGTTTCTGGTTCCGAGAATGCCTTAGAGCCTCTGTAGGTTTGTGAACAAGGATTAGCGGAGGTTCCCTTACCACCCCATTTATAACCAAAGTTACGGTTCAAATCAACACCAGGGCAAGCACGTCCATGAGATCTCATATTTTTACGCCATAGACGATCGGTGGTATGGGAATATTCATAACCATCAGGATTGGCAACAGCATGAATGTACCAATTGATATTACGCATATAGGCGGGTAAATCATCCCATCCTTCAAGCAATTGATTGGCAATATAGGTAACAACAGCAGGACTAATCCATTCACGGGCATGCATACCACCATCGATCCAAATACCAGGGTTGTTGGCATTGCCATTGGAGATCCTGGAAAAGAAAGAGATAGGGGTTTTTAGATTATATTATTTTGGGAGAGAGATTTCAATTTTACTTACTTCAAAATCTTCAAGGGCCTCTTTTCAATGGAATAACCAATAATTTCAACGGAACAAATTTCCGGGTATGTCTGAGCCATGTAATCAAAGAAGCCGTGGATATCCTCCAAACGATGATAGGCTTGCCATGTCAAACGGTGTCCTGCAATAGAAAAATTAATTATTATATTAATTATATAACAATAATTAAAAATGTGAAGAGTATGTTCAAAATAAATAAATAAAATTATTTTAATTATATTAAATTCTACAAAAATGTTCCTAAAATGTTGATAGGATTAGGAGCTTTCTATGGAAAATAAAAAATTATTTTTTTTTTAATTTAAAAAAAGAAAATTGTGAAATTAGCGCTCTGGGATTCTATTTTGTAAGGAAATTAGAAATAAAAAATTATACTAATGGAAAAAATTTAACTAAAATTTTAAAAATATTGAGAAATAATCATTTTTATAAGGAAAGAAACGAATTTTTTAATTAGACGCCGTGTCGAAAATGTTCCGGAATCTGCTGTAGAGGAAAAGAGACACAGACTTATTTTTCTACAGAAACAAACATTTCCAAAAGAACTTCGATTTGTTTCCCCAATAGCAAATTTGGCTGATATATTGGGGTTCACAGGGAAGAACCCGCAGAGCTGTGCATGGAGAATTAAAACATTAAAAAAATCCATATCCACCATATCTTAAAAATGGTTGCAACGTTCGTCATATATATCCGTGGAATTTCGAGGGCTATCTGTCCCGATTTATACCAACGTATTTTTTCAAAAATTTTTTCTTGTACTCAGGGCGTTAGTCGAAGTTCGATTTTTTCCACTCCGATTAAGACATCTTCAGAACATGACTTTTAATGAAACAACATATACTGAATACAAAATTGGATCACCACTTCTTGATGTGCGGGTATACAGGTGTCGGCTCCAGCGGAGCAGCTGTCATTTTGCCGAAGAAACAGCCGACAATTTTCGTAGAAGTGCTTCTTCCGATTGTCGAAATGTGCGGGTGCCACAATTGCTAGACACCCAGTTTGAAAAATTGAGCTAGGACCCGTTCAACATAGCGAAACCAACGCGTAACTTGAAAAAGCGTAGTACCAAAAATTGAAGGGCTTTATCATAAGGGTATAGCCAATATTGATATTCTTTGGTAAGAAGCATTGACACCCAATAAGATCGCATTCAGTTAAAATGCTGAATGTCGGGAGGACCGTTATATGAATTATATCCAGAAATTTGGGCTAATATCGATCGTTTTTGTTAGGATGTACCAGACACTCAGTTTGAAAAATTGAGCTACGACCCGTCCAACATACCAAAACCGATGAGTAGCCTGTAAAATATGTTTCAAATCCTCATCCTCATATGACCAAAATTATCGAAACTTGGGCTAATATCGATAATTTTTGTTAGGAAGTACCAAATACTGAATGTCGGGAGAACCATTTATATGGATTATACCCTGAAATTTGGGCTAATATCGATAATTTTTGTTAGGATGTACCAGACACTCAGTTTGAAAAATTAAGCTAGGACCCGTCCAACATACCAAAACCGATAAGTAGCCTGAAAAATTGGTTTCAAATCCTCATCCTCATATGACCAAAATTATCGAAACTTGGGCTAATATCGATATTTTTTAGGATGTACCAGTTTGAAAAATTGGCCTATGTCTTGTTCAACATACACGCATTCAGTTGAAAACCAAATGCTGAATGTCGGGAGGACCGTTATATGGATTATACCCTGAAATTTAGGCTAATATCGATCATTTTTGTTAGGATGTACCAGACACTCAGTTTGAAAAATTGAGCTAGGACCCGTCCAACATACCAAAACCGATAAGTAGCCTGAAAAATTGGTTTCAAATCCTCATCCTCATATGACCAAAATTATCGAAACTTGGGCTAATATCGATATTTTTTTAGGATGTACCAGTTTGAAAAATTGGCCTATGTCTTGTTCAACATACCGAAACCGACTCGTAACTTTAAAAATATGTGTGAAATTGCATGTTTTAAAAATACAAAATCCCCGAATTTCTTGTTCCTTAATAAAATAATATCAGTTACTTTAGTGGCATTGAATTTCATGTTGTCTTTTGTTTAGTTTTTCTTTTCGTTTTTATTTTGGAACTATGGAAGTAGTCGTGGGGCATTTTATTGTTTGTTAAGTGTCAATAAGGAAACACCTTTGCTTATGATGATGATTTCCATGTCAGCAACACCAGACACCGAACATGCAATGTTGCTATCAAACGAAGGGTGGTTGGCAAAATGTTGTTGTTTTTTTAAATAAAAAAGTAAATTGGAAACAACTAAGCCACTCATAACCGCCAAACATGCAATGTCATGGTGTTTAATAAGTCTGCAAAGTTTTAGTTCGAATTATTATTATTATTCTTTTTTTGGTAAAGAAATGAAAATAAATACCGAAATCAATCTTAGAAACTTAAAGGAAATGAATTAAGTGAATTTTGTTGATCGATTTGGTGAAAGTTAATTCCCTTTCAAAAAATGCAGAAAAGAAAATTAGTGGAAGGGAAATTTAAGTTTTAATCATATTTGGAAAATATTTTCAATGAAATTATAAGAGCAGGAATATTAATTGTATAGCTTGGGGTCTGGAGCTTTGCAACATAATGGAATATTGGTTCGGGCAGCTCTACCAATTGAATTATCTCCTATAGGTATAAATTTTTTCCCAGTATCCATAGTGAGAGACGACCCTTCTTCTTATTTTCTTTAGGGTTTCCCTCACCAAATGCTCCACCATTATCTACCATTCCACACTTTATTATTGGCTGATTGCTTGTTTCTTTTTGCCATTTCATTTAAATTAAAATTCCGTTTAATTACTCCTCCTCCTCCCATTTGTTGTCATTATTTAACCTTTTTTCTTGTTGCCATGATTGCGTAAATAACAATGCGTTTCGAATTCTTAATCGAAACGATTCGAACAGTTTTGGATTGATTGCATTTAATATGCGTTTGCTGTGCCGACGACGATTGCGAATCAAAAAGAGGGTGTGAATTATAAACAATCAAACGAAACAACAACAACAATAAAAAAGTTAAACGCATTTACCAATGAAGAGAAATGTAAATAACCCCGATTCGATTCGATTGTTGTTTATGCCAAATGTGTGTTTTTTGTAGTTGTTGCTATTGTGGAAGTCCGCGTAATCGGAAAACGTTATTTGGGGTAAAAACAAAGTGTTATTGGAGATTGTCGGAAATGCTTTCAAAATTAATTATAAATTTTTTAATTGTAATTCGAATTAAAATTTATAAATATGAGAATAATGAACAAATATATACAATATTTTCTACAAAAGACTAAAGTGTTAGGAAAATTTATTTTTCCTATAAACATGTAGAAAGGTGTCAGTATGGCGACAGATTCTCAGCATATGACATATGTAGTACACGTGTATACTTATCCTGCTATATTCTTCTACTGCTATTTTTGTTTTGAAAAAAAGCCTACAGAAGTACTGATGACAAACGTATGCTGTCGATCCAGGAGAACTTGCCATATAGACCTCAACTTCGGATTCAATGTAGGTTTGTTAAAATATGACGATGTGCCATCATTGGATCAAATCGCTTTATGTGAAATTTATATATGAAAACTGCACTTTGTGTGCGAGAGGTACAAGAAGGAGTGGAGCGATGGGTACCATTATCGGTCTAGAAGTTATAAAAATTTTACCAAATATCAAATCGGCCTTGAATATTGAATTTAAAGTTATTCAAAATGTCGACACGTTGTAAAGGACCAATGGATCCCATTTTCGGACATGATCTAGGATTTGTAAAAACATTACAACCACCAAATTTTGGCTATTGGACTTTATTTTTTCACTACTAGAAGTAGTAAACTGATAGACCCCATCAAAGAGTCAGATACTTATGAGGATCAAATCGGTTTCTTCCTTCTAGAGTTATCGTACGCAATAGCCGCCAAGACAGACTTAAAATAGTCTTAAACGGATTTGGGTTCTAAATTTGTTAAAAACATGTGGGATCTATATTTTATATATTGCAAATGTTTACCATTTGTGGGGAAGGTATCAGAAGGAGTGATCTATACTTGGTGAAAATAATAGGATGTGTTAAGTTTGGTTCGAATCGGACGTTCCATTCGCATATTATTGAATTTATAAATATTGGAATTTTTCACCCTTTGTGGTGGAGTGGATTAATTGGATTAATGGCTTCCATTTTCGGTCTAGATCTAGGTACGAGAAGGAGTAGACCGATATTCCCCATCTTCGAAATTAAACTATGTTTGGAAGAAATTTTACCATGTGCGAATATTGGATGAAATCAGTTACTCCCTTCGAGAGTTACTGTGCGCACCAGCTGGCTAGACAGACAGATGGACGGACATTTGTAAATCGACTCCAAATTGTCGGAAACGGGTTTGGTCTAAAGAAATATAATATAAATAAGAAATATGGAGTCTACAACCAATATTTCGATGAGACAATTTTTTTGCCGTATCAAACTGTATATACCCTCATTAGACATAAGGCTGAGGGTGTAAAAATTACTTGAGACCTACAAATCTGAAAGAAATTGTGATCGTATCCTGAGGCAGAGAGGTTTTTTTTAAGAATGAAATGAAGTGGAACATTTTGATGTATATTTTAAAGGAAACTGTATTAATTGTTGGGGGAAAATCGAAATTCTTCCTGAAATGGCAAGGACTAGGAAATCTCTAAAACGTTCGCTGTTTAACGTTATAAGCGGACTAGTATAAACTATTACTACTGATCCAAGACAATGTGAGCTATCACGCAACGGAAAATCGTTTTGTTTTTTGTTCGGCTAAAACGTCGAGCATTTTATTCTCACACATCAATAAACAACCCGTGGTAAATTATCATAATTCCCAGAAGACGCCGTGGAAGCATTTAGGAATGATGTTTTGCAAGAGTCTCAATCGGAGTAGAAAAAGTGATTTTTTCTATAAAAAAAAATTTATTTATTTTGCACCAAGGTTATTTTCAAGATTATTTTAATGTGTGCAAAATAAGATTCCCTAGTGCGTATAACTAACATCAGCATGTATACGCCCGGATGGCCAAAGGATCGCAAAAAATTAATTAATATAATTTTTAATAAATTTCCATATCAGATGCTGTTGAGTAGCCCCATTTGTTGTTAATTAATTCGATATATCCTTCACTCCAACTTAACTAAATTCCAATAATACTACCAAAAACAAAGAAACCATCTGTAAATACCCTCAGACAAATAAATCTTTATATGTCATACAAGATGATGTTTTACAGGTGTCTTAATCGGAGTGGAAAAAGAGCTTATTTTTTTCTCTAAAAATTAATTTATTTTGTGGCAAAAAGTTCTCAAGATTTTTTTTTATATTTAGAAAATATACTCCCTAGTGCGTATAACTAATATCAGTATGTATACACCTCCGTGGCCTCTAAAAAATTAATTTATTTTGTGGCAAAAAGTTCTCAAAATTTTTTTAAAATATATAGAAAATATGCTCCCTAGTGCGTATAACTAATATCAGTATGTATACACCCCCGTGGCCAAAAGATGGAAAAATAAATATTTATCGTCTGGTTTCATTGAAAATTTTAATAAATTTCCATATCAAATACTGTTGAGGTTCCCTCTTTAGCTTGTTAATTTGATATTATTCTTTACCTCAACTAAACTAAATTCCAATAATCCTACCAAAAACAAAGAAACCACCTGTAAATACCCTCAGCCAGAAAATAAATGTTTCCATATCGCATTTCAATGTCACTTCAAACAGTTATCCTTTCCCCTTAAGTGTCAAACTAACAAAACGCTTAAAACAATTAAGGGCTACACCCAATTTAACAACTGTTAATCCCTTGTGTACTTAAATTTAACAACCACAATGGAATGGTTTTTCGGGTTAATTGATTTCCAAGCGTTTAAGGGGTTTTTCGTTTATTTCGCTGACAGGTCAGGCAAGTCGTTCTTGTTTGCCTTCAAACATTTCTTGCAAGTATTTAAACCAGTGTAATCAAATACGAAAAAACCCCGAACCAAAAAAAACTGCCCAAAGCGCAAAAGAAAGAAACTAAACGACCAGCACAAAAAACCCCAAAAGTCTGTGTGTTCTCTTTGCTTGCCAAATGGAACAGTTTTTATGCCAGATTTAAGCCTACACCCATACCCCCTTGCAGCTAGTTGTTCAATGGTGGCAAAAACCCCCTCTCAATAGAACATAATTTCTATTTGTAACGACTTGGAAAAAAGACCTCACAACACCTTTGTCCCCAAAGAATGGTGGCGATGGTGGTCGTATCAAGCTAAGTAAGTTATTCAGACTGCCAGCCAAAAACACAGAGAAAGAAAACTTTATCCTTTTTTCGGGTAAATTTGTTTTTTTACCACCCTCACCCGCACAAGCAGCCGTTTATTACTTTTTTCTTTCTGATTTCTTCTCTGTTGTTTACACCTGAATTGAATATGGTGTGATGGTGCCGTACACCAGGGTATAGGTGTGAAAATCAAATTGTCTGATAGTCTGGTTGATTTTTTACGATTCGTTAGAGATTACAATAAATGTGTTTTAGTTTAATAGCTCTAAGTGAGTTTTGATAGTGGGGAAAGGAAGATCATATGTTTTCGATAAAAGGTATGCCTAGAAATTGACAACAGTTTTCTTTTGTTGGGGGATAAAGTTCTGGGCCTTAAAGTAGGCAGTATTCTTGTATCATAGACAAGAACCAGCAGAGTGAATCAGCTGATTGGGTGTACATAAATCAGCTGACGGAATACACTCTCAATAATTGACAAAAACGTTTTTTATTGAATATTCCAGATTGAAAATATTATAATTTTCAATTATGATTTCTTACTAATTCAGATACGATTAAATAATCATCATGCGGTTAGGGAGATCAAATATTTGTTTATAGTTTAAGAGGATAAACATAAATTTCAAACATAATAAGTAATCAGTTGCAAATATGTTACTGAAATAGAAAGGTTATGACCTTGTACCGAACCTTTGAAGTAAATCAAATATTGGGCCAATGTTGCTGACCTGTAATGTATACTTCAGTCAGTCACCACTCAATATTAAAGATCGGAATGAATACAAGATTGTGCATAGTAGACTTAAAGTTTTATATATTGAGTTGGCAATCTCGTTCCTAAAGCGATTCGATCTTTTATGGTATACTCTGCAAAAGGAATTAGGTCCCTCAGTTAGTTTAATTTTTGAAGCAGTTCAAACTTCTTCATTTCGCTCCGCTAAAGAAGCGAGGTCATTCAGGTAGTTCCATATTTTCTTTTAGTTCAATAGTTCATTTATACACGACAGTTAATTCGATCAATGTACAGAAAGATCTAGAGGAAAGATTGGATCAAGTGTAACTAAATGAACGAGAGCAAAAAATATAATTCTTTCTTGCATGAATGTGCTTTCTTAAAGTTATTTAGTTCTCGAACGAACTAGTTCACTACAATGAGCCCAAGGGCTAGGCCAATCTATAGTTTAGCATATAATCTGAATGAAAATTTTAATTATCCCATATTCTGAACAATTCGTTTAAATGGGAATGTAATTAATTGAAAATGTCGCTTTTCTTCGATACTGGCGAAAAACAAGGAAATGAACTAGTTCAACTGAACTTGATTCACTAAAAGGTACGTAAGGACTAGGTCAATCTATACTGTTCGATTTAGTTCAGCTTTTAATCTCAACGAATGATTTAATTATCCCAGACCACGAGCTTCTCTTGTAAATGAATGTTGAATAAAAATTTGAAACACTAATCCGAACTAGTTCACGTGCATAAGGACTAGATCAACCTGTTCGCCTTAGTTCAGCTTATAATCTCAATAAACGATTTAACTATCCCAGATCAGTTGAACTTGATTCACTAAAAGGTACGTAAGGACGATGTCAACCTATAATATTCGCCTTGGTTCAGCTTATAATCTGAACAAACGATTCAATTATCCTCGTCCATGAATTAAAATTTTAAACTCCGCACCTTATTTTTGTATAGTTACCATTTATCTTTAACGACCCTTCTTTTACAACCATATTATGTTCGAAATCCTCAAGTACGTCAACGTTTTTTGCTGTACTGGTTCACATAAATTCCTATTTATTGTTCCGATGGTTTTTGATTAGAATAAGCTGATTAAGTAGGAAGTTTGGTTTTCCTGTGATATTTCACAGTTCTGGCGTCATAATTATGTTATAACTTGTTAATGCAATAATTTCGAAAAAACAAAAATTCTAAAATAAAACACGACAACTCGTTCGATCTTGAAATAAGATGGGATCCCAGTCTCTGTATTCAAATAGAATCGGCGACACATAACTATAAAATAATCCACAATCTCTCCACAAAGGAGACTATTCTTAATTCTCGAATCCGACTTTTATAACTGTCTATTGTCTGTTATAACAGTAAATAAAAATATTAATAGTGCCTAAAATTATGCACTGGAAACAAATATTATCTACTATCAGCTGTTTCAAAAGTTGTTTTGAATAGGGCGTTTCTATAAAAAATCGACAATCTATCCAGGAAGAAGACTATTCTTAATTCTCGAATCAGACTATTAGGCTTATTAGTTATAACAGTAACTAAAAATATTAATTGTGCCTAAAAGTATGTACTGGAATCAAATTGTTTCTAATACCACCTACTTTAAATAAAATTATTCGCGTTTCAAAAGTTTTTGGACCACCTTCTTTAAATCCTACGAAATTAGTTTATATTATTTATATCTTTTTTTTTAAATCTCCTTCAAAAAAAAAACTCCTGTCTCAGCTCGCTGCTGCATTCATTAATTTCCCCGAAAAAAACTACCAAAAACTAAGAAAATCCAAACAAACAATCGGATAAAAACCACTTACCCTTTCTATTTTGCAATAGTGCAATTTCTTCGGCTGGTGGATTTTCAACTTCAATGGCCTGTTGTAAATTATCAATGAGCACAATGCGCGATAAGTTGGCACCTCTCACGTGACGTTCAGCATCGGCCAAGACTTGTGGTTTCAACAAGTAGTCAACTTCTTGTTTGACCTCCTTCCATAATTGTCCATCTGCAATAAAAAATAGTAACGAGAGAGAAAAAATACAAGTTAATGCCAATGGAAAAAGAAATGTGTGGTGGTGTCCAGTTGAAAAAAAAACTAGACTGGATTTTTTTGGTTGGCTAACTAGCTGGCTAGCATAGTTGCCTTTTGGTTGTTGTTGCTAGAAGAGGATGTGGGCGTTGTTTGTTTTTTTATATCGTCTTCTTCCATTTGATTATAGGCTATTATTTATTCTCTATATTTTATTTCATTTATTTTGGTTTTGTTGTTGTTTTTGTTATAGAAAGTAAAAGTGGTAGTAGTTTCTCAATTTCAATGGAATTTCTTTGGGAAATTGATAATAGAGGAGGAAAAAAGTTAATGGTATACATTTAAAGTGGATAAGTGTTGAAGATTTATGTGAGTAATGCCAAGAAGTGGGGATTTTAAGTTTTTGATAAAGGCCATTTGTAAATAATTAATGGACATTTTAAGTTTTCTAAGTTATTTCAAATTCTATAACTTAGCTACATTCTCTCCAAAATACCTATTTCGACCTAGTTTTCGTACTACACAAATTTTTAAAACGGTAAAAATTTTTAATAATTTTTAATGTAGATAAGTATAAATCCGAAAACTTTGTTTCCATTATCAGCTGTTTTATTGTGTAATTTATAGCAGCCTAAATGTATGCAACAGTTTTCATATAATTGGGTTTTCAAGTCTGCTGTTTTAAACGTAGAATTTGATTTATAGTAATTTCAAATAAAAATCTCCAATTTGCGAGGAATAAACTCACAATAATTTTGATTACCAAGCTAATTATTTAAAATTAAATTTTTGATTTTCGGCTTTTAATGTAGATAAGTAGAAATTCGAAACATTACATCAATTGCCACCTTTCTATCCAAGACCACAACCTTAATTGGTATTTAAGGTACGTGAAGAGTTATCGAGGTTTCTTGTTTAACCGAGTCAAAAAGTTGTGTGTAGATTCAACTAAGTACCACATTTTATCAAAGGCAATAACCGAACCTTCAAAGTAAATCAAATATTGGGCGAATCTGAATATCAAATATAGAAATTAATACTAGATTGTGTATAGTATACTTCAAGTTTTATAATTGAGACTGGCAATCTCGTTCCTGAAGTGGTTCGATCTTCTATGGTATGCTCCGCAAAAGTAACTAAGCCATTCAGGTAGTTCCATGTTTTCTTTTAGTTCAAGTGTTCCCTTTTAAACGCCAGTTAATTTGATCATCAATGTACGAAACGATCTATATGAACAATTGGATTAAAAGGGAATTAGGTGAACTAGAGCAAAAAGGAACGATTGAAGGAAAGTGTGCTAGATGAACGAAAGTAAAGGACTCAGTACCGATCGGTGCTTTTGCAGAGTAGTTCTATGAACGATTTTTTTCCCGAAAATACACAACTTTAGTTCATATCATAGATGTTTAAAGTAAACAATGACTAAAACCAAACGCACTCAACTTAAATCATTTGCTGAGAGGACACTATGCACATTGTTTCTATTGTCTAAAAGTGACCATATTTAAATTTAAGGTACCGAAATTTTTAAAATAAAATTTGATTTTTTGGCATCTGTTGGAATAAAAGTGTCTTGTTAGCATTATTTGGTTTATGATCGAACTAGATCAATCTATACAGTTCGCCTTAGCTCAGTTTGTAATCTAATCGAAAATTCAAGGAGGCGTTGTTCCTAGTTAACGTTACATGGCAGCCTCAATTTTCCCCATCAACGGTAATTCAGCTGACCAAGAATGTGTACAAATGTAGTGTGAAATAGTTCATACACTGCATAGATTTTGGATAGTTCGCCTGCATTCAGCGGAGGAGGAAAATTTATTTCAAGGCATCAACATATGAGATTAAATTAGGAATGGTAGTATGTAGCGCCTGCCAGATGAAAATGTTAACATCAAAAAAGCAAAGACACAATCCACAGCACAAAATTCAAGGGTGTGTTTTTTCTAGGTAACGCTAGATGGCAGCATTACATTTTCACAACAACTACAACTATATCAATCAAGGATGTGTATAAAGGAATGTGAAATTGTAACACCAAATGTTCATAAAAATATGAACATAATTTACACATTACATATGCCATAATATATTTAAGTGCTTAACATAAATATATTACTATAGATAAGTGCGCCAATGCCTATCTGATAATGCCCTCAGCAAGGGACAAACAAGTATTTCTAGTGATAATTGCACAGAATAAGATACCCTAAGATTTGTATGACAGTCTAGCACATAGTGAATTTAACATCTAATAGGCAAAGACACAATCTACACCACAAAATTCAAGGAGGCGTTGTTTCCAGATAACGCTAGATGGCAGCCTTACTGTTTTTTCATAACCATTGTAATTCAGCCGATCAAAAGGAGTAAGCAATTTTTAAGAAGTCGTTTAGCAAATTTTTAACATTATATAACAAATTCACGCTTTCTCAAGTTCATGGAAAGATATCGATTGAGTATATTTGCATTGTACTGAATTCTTTAGCGCAGTGGGTTAAACTTGTAAATCCCATTGCATATATGTCAAATTAATCCTCATAAAGTAAGTTAACTCGGTAAAAAGTTATAATGTACATGCCATATAGGGAAAATAGGGTTATTTTTTGTTATATGAAGGCATACAATCAACGAAATCGCATTGTCGGTATATAGCTTCCCAATATGCAGTTCTCCTAAAAGTATGCATTGATTTTGATTTTTAAACTAATATCTGCTGATTGCAATAAAATCTTGTATAAAATTAATTTGCCGAATAGGTTTTAAAATTAAAAGCTGAAGCACACAATGAATTTATCTCACTTTCAAAACTATTACATCTTCTTCTTTCCACCAAAAAAATTCTATTGTATACCCCATTTAGCTTTAGTTCGTGTTATCACGATAATCACACATATCTCAGAATTCCATCACAAATCATGCATTTGAAAGGCATTCAATTAGATTTTCCAACTGAGTAAATATCCTGTGGTTAGCCATTCAACTCACAACTGATGATGTTCTTATTCGGGTTTCCCCATCGTGTGGATACACAATTTTATTATTTTTTTGGCTGACGTTTAATTGACTCCTTAACCTTGAACTGATGACAGACAAACAAACAATGGAATAACCCAGTGAACAATTTAGATTTTAATCAGATGTGAAATTATATTTTCAAGAAAAATATTCTTATAGCAAATTCGAATAATAATTGAGAAATTGAGGCGTGAGGAGTGTTTCTGTGTAATTTGAAGCACGTCCGACAGATGGCGCAATATTTTGCTTCAGTGCTCGGCATTTGAACAATAATTGATATGTCGATGTAGTGCACCTTTCATTCTTCTTCGAAAAATAAATCTGCCAGATTTGCAGTGAGAAATAAAATTTGAAGGCAATGCAACGTTTGCCCAGGTCAGCCAGTATAACAATAAGATTCTGATTTTTTGTAGAAATTCTTCCATTTTTTTTACAAAATTTTTCACTGGGTAACCATTGCTGTGTAATTTGTGTAAGTGTTGGTTATTTTTCTAGTCCTTTACTCTACTTAGCAGTTTTGTAAAGTACCCACTACTAGTTCCAAATCTACTAGTATTTAATGTGCAAAACTAACAGCAACGATGACGACAACAAACAACAGCAGAAAATGATTTTTCATTATGAAAATGAAAAGCGTTGGCACTGGAAATACAACGACCCTTTATGTCACTCCAAGTGAAATGAATTGTGGAAACTATTCATAAAAAACAACGACAACAACAACAAAAACGAAAATAAAACGGCAAATGAAAGACCTACAAAAACAGTTAAACAGTTGTCGGTTACATGACCTTAATTTTTTTTCGGATGCTTCAGCGTCAAGCATCAGTGGTTGGTCCGTTGTCAGGAGGGCAATTGTAATAACGGCTAAGGCAATTGTAAAAAGCGAATAAAATATGAAAAATTATATTTATGAAAATAAAAAATACCAATAATAAAAAAGAATATAAATGTTTTTTGGCAATCAAAGATGATTTTGGAAAGCCATGGGGAAACGGTGGGGTTTATATTGTTTTACAATCAAAGTGGTCTTTGTATTCGTTCTTCAATTTTTTGCAAAAAAAGAAATATTTCGGTAATTCAAAGCTATGGAGAAAATTAAAGGCTTAGAAATTAAAATTAAAAGGGAGAAGAGTAGTGTATTTCATGCACTGCATAGGTTGTGAATAGGGCGCCTGCATTAAGCAGAGGAGGAAACATTTTTTGATAGTGGTAAAAAAAGAGGCTTACATTCCCCTCCAGATGAAATGCATCCCAAGTTGCCTGAAATTGTAATGAACAACCTCGGCATCGACATGATGAAAACACAAATGGAAGTTGTAGGAGATAGAGCCACCCAGAGGAAAATGCCAACACCAAATAAGCAAAGACACAATCCACAGCAAAATTCAAGAAGGTGCTGTTTCTAGGCACAACCTAGGGTAGGCCACAGCCGGCTAATCATCTACTTCGCAGGAATAAAAAAAAAATAAAGAGGCTTACATAGTTAATAGAGGCTTACATCCCAATTTGTTGATACTATAATAACCAACCTCATTATCAACACAAGAGGATAAAACAAAACAGGAATGACACGGGACAGCGCCATCCACAGAAATTGCCAACACCAAATAAGCAAAGACACAATCCACAGAACGAAGGCGGCGTTATATCTAGACAACTCTAGAGAATAGAAATGGCAGTATGTAGTGCCACCGAGAGGAAAATGCCAACACCCAATAAGCAAAGACACAATCTACAGCAAAAATTCAAGGAGGCGTTTTTTCTAGGCAACGCTAGATAGCAGTCACATTACCTTGTGTTGGCCACAGCAGACTAATCATCTACTTAACAGTAATAACAAATAATTAACGAAACTAACACGAAAATATATTAGAATAAAACGGCCATACGTTGTGAGAGTAGTGACAGGAGAAAATATTTTGAAATATTAAGGTATTAAATTTCGATGAAGAATGATAGTTCGGATAGGTCCCTTTACAAAAAGTATAAACGTCACCCTTGATCGTCTGATCAGAAATCACAATTTATTTTTTCAATTTTTAAATTTAAAACTCTAAATAAGTCGCAGAGAACGATTACCAAAATTAGAATTTATAGCATTGAGTTATAAAGGCCACCATATAAATTTCTGTCAATAACCTAGTTTCGTATTATTCTCAATAACCTAGTTTCGTATTTGAGCGAGGACGGGAACCAAGACAAAAGTTGTAAAGGTCGTCCAAACACGGTCATTTGAAAAAACAATGATCACGATTCTGCTTATAAGATCGTCAGAGTTGATATATATCGGGAATCTATACAGATAGCCCAAAAAATAGGAATCGACGTGGGGGAAATTTGAAAACCGAATAATTGGTTTACATATACATAACATAGCTATGTTTGTGCGGAATATGGTGTTAAAATTTTGAATCGATTGAATTAACGATACGCCTTCTCTGTCTAAGCATTCATATCTGCATGATGATGAGTGTGAAAATTAAAAAAAAATAATTCTATGGCGTACATGTTTCCTCCATGAAGACAGGTCCTGACGAAACTGCCAACATAAAAAAGAAGATCATTTTTCGCTTTAAATTAATGATACCCTACACAACTATGTTGTCAGGGTATTATAGCTTTGTGCAGCCCCAAAAGTTTGTAACGCCGCGAAATATTGGTCCGAGACCCACCGATCGTCCATTATAATTTGTAAACACGATACAGGCCACAGTTATGGACCAATCGTAGGATGTGTTCTGGCCAATGAAGACCCCTATTGTTTTTGGGAAAAATCGGTTAATATATAGGGGATGAAATGAACCAAATACTAATTTTTTTTCGTTTTTTTTTGTCGCTCCAGATGCCGCAATAATGGCCCGAACATCGTGAAATTTTGCATGGAGAAGGGGATCGGCCTAAGGAATAAGCATGCCTGTTTTGATAAAGATCGGTCAATATTTAGCGGTTCAAATTGGCCCTGACTTTTGTGTGAAAAATTACAAAAATTGTATTCTATAGCATATATATTTACCACTGAAGGACACAGGCCCGAGAAGTTGCTATTATATCCAAGAGGAGTGGTTGACCTTTAAATTAAGACCAATTATATTGTTGTATGTGCTCGAATGTGGGAGTTACACCTAAATATTTACAGGTATCTCCGTATTCGTATATTATTTAGTAACCCATTATCACTCTAGAGAGCGGAACTATAGCGCTGATCGCTTTGAAATGTTCCATGAGGTTCAAGTTATGGGCAAGGACAACGCCTATAATTTTCGGTGATGATCAGATAATAATTTTGGAATGAAGTGGACCGAAAACTTAATTTTTTGTGTCATTTTCGAGTCGATCTATAGACCACAAATGAAAGCCGAACATCACAACACAACCTACGGTGAAGGGAATTTGGACAATAGCTGCACTGAATACTCGTAATATTCGGAAAATATGTCAGTGTAAGGAAGAGGTGCTGTTTACCTCTAATCGGGAAAGAGGGTGCAAATATCACGAAATATTGCCCAGGCTCTGAATAAACATCCGCAGAAAATTTGACTTACGTGGTAGTTGTGTAGGGTATCATATGGTCGGCCCCGTCCGACTATATTGCTCCGCTCACTGGTTTTTAATATATTGATAAATATGATCGGGTATTCTTAAATATCAATAGGGCTCCACATATTCTAATATTATTGAATATTATTAAAGGAGGTAGTTGTGTAGGCTATCTTATGTTTAATCCCGCTCACTGGTTTTTAAATAAATCTTCAATTTTATTTATTTTTTTTTTTAATTTAAAAAGTTTTCTTTAAATGCCATGCCATAATATGCCAAAAAAAAACTGTAGTAAAACCAAAATGTAATTTTCAACTTATTTTAGCTAAACTTATTTAAGACACCATTAGCTTTTTTAACCTTCCCTTGCCTTGGTTGTCTGGTGCATTTTTAATTACGAAACGAAAACAAAAAAATTTTGCTATGAATTATCATTTCATAGCTACATGTCAAAGAAATTTAAACTTTTGAACTAGTAGCCTTTCATGTGTGATATCTGTGAGATGAAATTGCACGATATGTGTTGGTGTTTGTGTCTCTATTTTCACCATTCCTTAAAAGAGTCTGGGTCTGAGAGAAAAAATACTGAAATAAAAGCAAACAACCGACAACAACAAAAACAAGTGACAATTGTTCAACAACAATGATTATTGTTTAACTTTAGCGCGTTGAAAATGCTTTGCATATAAAATAGAGCTAAGTACCGCGACAAACTAGGTTGCCAGAAAATATGCCTGTGTGTTTACATATAATGCAGCTGGAGGAATGCGTTTTGCGAAAAAAAAATAGTGGACACAAAGATGAGTTGGAAATTTGTATCAAATAACTTTGGTGGACTGCAAACTTGGGGATATGTGAAATAATTTCCCTTTCATATCTAAATTAAAAGAAATATTTTAAATGAAGCTGAAGATGAGGGCATTCGTTTTTTTATGGCAATTTTTTGCAGGATTTTTTTTTAATCTGTTCTATTTGGTGTTCCTAAATTTGTTGATATCTTTTGTACCTTTTTCCCGAAAATTTAAATAGAATATAAATTATTTATAATCTGTAACTAAAATTTATTCCATCCTGAGTTTATTCCATCCAGCTACATTGTTGCATATAATGGCCTTCTTGACCAATGATTGACATTTTCGATAGATGTTCGATACATTTTTTTTTGTTTATTTCTCTTTCGAGACGAGCTACATGATCGAACGTTTTTCCGTTGGTTAAGTTGCACATCAGGCATATTAGGAAATGTGGCATACAAAGATCATTACTTGATATGTTGTATTTATATCGAATTTATTGCGAAAAAAATTCACCAGTATCAAAGTTCGACCTTTGTCGCCACCCCAAAACATTTTTCAGATCAGTTTTTTTCTATTCCTCTTAAAAAGAGTTGCTCAATTTTACCAAGAGTCGGAGTGGAACACATATTCGGTCCCAATAAAAAATTGCATCTCTTATGTTATGAAATGATACCTCATCCGGCATATTATCTCTTTGGTGCATATTTTCTAAGTGATCGGAAAATGGTTCAATTTGTAATTGTCAAAAAAATGAGGATGTGTAGACTCTTTATAAGGAGCCTGCCCGTTTTAAAATGATCCCTCTTCTTTTCGACGGCGGACATGCTTTCCGATCACTGGAATATTCGAATCTCGTTTTTGGCATTTAAAGAACCCCATTTCTTTTACAACGCAATTAAATTTATGGCTCTGGTATGAACTAGGATTATTGAAATCGCTCGAAAACTGTCAAAATATATGTTTAATATACTGTACATCCTGCATAATAATCAATGATTGCATTTCGAAAGAGTAAAAAGATTCCGAAGTTTTTTTCATTAAATACACTCAAATGGGATATAAGACTATATATTCTCCTGATTTATCTCCCTGCAAGATATATCCCTTTTGATTGGCGGAAATTCGTCATCTGGAAATTAAATTATTTTTAAAACAATAAAAATTGTCGAAAATTAACAAAAATTCAAGATCATATAAAAATGTGGATAAGCTCGACCCGGGTGAATTTTTTAATACCCTCCAGCATATGGTGAACATTATTATTTTTTATGTCAGAACCCGTATATAGGGTAAATTGGCTGCTAAATGTCAATGTATTTACAAACAAAATTTTCTTTACCATGAATTGGCAATTAAAAATTACAGTCTTTTCGGTTGGGAAATGCAAAACACCGAAAACACTATAATTCAAACTTTAATATTTTGATTATTTTGTTTCTAAACGATTTAAATGCAACTGATTTTGGTGGATACACGAATAAGTCCCTTTCCACATTAATTTTGACCTCCCTTATCTTTTCTAGGTTTGGAAAACCTCAAGTCAAAATATCACTTTTGATTTCAGAAAAAAATCATACATGCTCCGCTTGAGTGGATTCTCGAAATTAAAATAAGTAGATTTTTTTCGGGTGTTTGTAATAGCATTTGACTTAGAAGAAAGAAGAGAAGAGAGAGAAGACAACATTTTGGAGACAACATTTGAAAATAATATCTTTCTGCTCATAATTTCTTCTTCCAAAATTGATTTAAAATGATAATTTGAAAAGTTGAAATTGATATTGACATTCTCGAAATTTCAGCCTCATAACTTTTTTCACGTGCCAATTGTTTCCAAAACAAAACTTTCATTTAATAATTTTTGACAAAAGAAACTGTAGCGAATAGAACAATGCGATGGTTAACTACAGCATAAATTAATCGATATTCCGGCTATCACCTCTATAACTAACTAATAAGATATTCATATCCAAACAAATAAAACGATTCTAAACTGGGTCACCTTATTTTCCTTTCACTTGAAACAAAACAGACACACATAATTTTCTTGCCGCATGAGGCGGGAAGTTATTCAGGGGTCCAGTGTGTGGTGCATTCCAAAGCATCACTTCACATGAATGCAAAACATCTTTTTGGCACACTTCTGCCACTTTTGTTCACTGGAACAAAACACAGCAGCAGCAGTGCCTGGTGTTTCGCTTTTCTTTTCTTTTTTTTGGAATTTAAAGCGCGACTATCACTTTCAGGCCACCACACCCTATTTCATTCCGCAACAACAACAAAAACAGAAAATATATTTTTCATTTTCGACTTACCAAATTTCGTTTGCAATTCATCGGCCAACTTTCTTTCGCGATCGTTCTGTACAACAATACGCCAAACTTGAGCACCATCATAACGTCTCAATTTCGAGTTGAAGGGTGCATCCTCCTTCTGGTGGGATGTCAAAGGTGCTTCTTCGTGATTCATTTGATTCATAAACGAGGCGTTGACATAGTTGAGAACACTATCGGCAACATTGAAAGGTTTCTTGGTGGTTACAATGGCTTGTTCGGGAATTTCCTCCTCCTGTGGCTTAACCGGAACGGGTACTTGGACAATTGTGGTCAAGAGGGAGGTTTGTTGAGGTTGCTCCACATTCAATGTATTATCGGTATCATCATTGAGTATGGGGTCATCTTTAATTTCGCTGACTTCTTGAACGGATTCTTCTTGCTTTTGTACTTCTTCTTCGGTTTGCTCAATGGTCTGCAAGGAATCTTCATTGGCTGCAACAATGGTGTCGGGTTCAATGGGTTTTTCTTCTTCGACCTTAGGGGTGTCTTCCATTACTTCTGGAATTTCATCAGCCATGGGAATTTGTTCATTGGCCTCTTGAGGTTTAACTTCTTCAGCAGTTTGGGGTGCAGTTTCCTCGAGAGTTTGAACTTCAGCGATGGGTGCTTCGGCGATTTCAGCGACTGGGGCATCTTCATCATGTTGAGTTTCATCAGCCATAATGGGTTGAGTTTCATCCAGGGTTACAAGTTCCTCAACTGGTTTGGATTCTTCTTCTTCTTGAACTGCAGCCTCTTCCACGATATGGACCTCTTCATTGGTTTCGGTTTCTTCGGCAGGCTTAAGTTCTTCCATTGTCACAACGGCTTCTTCAACAGGTTTGGCTTCTTCCATTGTTTCGGCTTCTTCTACGGGCTTAACTTCTTCCATTTCAGGAGCTTCCTCGACAGGTTTGACATCTTCAACGGGTTTAACTTCTTCCATTTCATGTGCTTCTTCAATGGGCTTGGCTTCCTCAATATCTTGGATCTCTTCGGCTGGTTTAACTTCCTCAATTTCTTGGACTTCTTCAGAAGCTAGAGAATCGGTCATTGGTTCTGATTCCTCAACAGGTTTGACCTCTTCCATGGTTACGGCTTCAGCGACAGTATCTTCCATAGGTTGAGTTTCCTCAGCGGGTTTTACTTCTTCCATGGTTTCAGATTCTTCAGCTGGCTGTCCATCGTGCATGGTTTCAGATTCTTCAACTGGTTTGGATTCCTCCACAACTTCAGATTCTTCAGCGGGTTTGGCTTCCTCAACAATTTCAGATTCCTTAGTGGGTTTGTCTTCCTCAACAGGTTTAACTTCTTCAACGGCTTCAGATGCTTCAGAGAATTCAACCTCCGCAGATGGTTTTTCTTCCACAATGGCAGCAGCTTCGACGGCAGGTTTGGCTTCTTCGAAGGATTCAGTTTCCTGAGTTTCTTCCACGGGTTTAGCTTCTTCATCCATGGTTTCAGTAACTTCCACGGGTTTAATTTCTTCTTCGACCACGGTTTCCATTTCTTCAACAGGTTTTACTTCCTCCTCTTGTTCCATGGTTTCCATGTCTTCAACAGGCTTCACTTCTTCCTCAACGGGTTTCACTTCTTCTTCGACAATGGTTTCCACTTCTTCAACTGGTTTAGGTTCTTCCACGGTCATTACTTCCTCAGCTGGCTGGTCATCATCCATGGTCAAGGTTTCTTCATTTGGTTTCATTTCTTCCTGGAGTTCTTCCTCCTCGGCCTTGGAATCTTCCAATTTGTCTTGCTCTTCTTCGACAGGTTTGACTTCTTCCATCATTTCAGATTCTAGGGGTTCCTCAGCATTGTCTTGCTCATCAGATGCCTGAGTTTCTTCAATAACTTGGGCTTCCATGGCGGGTTCCAATTTCTCAACAGTTTGGAGGTCATCAGCCTGGATTTCGGTTTGGATTTCCTCAGCCTGCATTTCGGATTGAATTTCCTCTACAGCTTGAACCTCATCATCGGATTGCACTTCATCGTTGGTTTGGGTTTCTTCTACTGGTTTAGATTCTTCTTCTGCTTCTTCTTCCACTTTAGGAGTTTCTTCTTCAGCCACAACTGCTGCGGAATCCTCAATGGTTTCACTCATAACCTGATCAACAGGCATGGCATCTTCCACATTTTGGACTTCCTCAATTATTTGACTTTCAGCAGTTTCGGGTTGTTCTTCGGATTGAGCTTTGATTTCTTCTTGCACATCAGCTTGAACAGCTTCAGAAACCTCGACAGCTTGAGATTCAGCTACGATTTCAGATTGTTGTTCTTCTTCAGCTACGGCCTCAGTTTCGTCTTGCAAAGTTTCTTGGGCTTCTTCAGTTTGTTTTTCCTTTTCCTCTTCCAATGGAGCTTCATGGGCAGATTCTTCTACTTTTTGTTCAATAGCTTCTTCTTCTACGACAACAGGTACAGCTTCGACATCCTCTACTTTTTGTTCAGAAGTTTCCATGGTTTCCAATTTGTCTTCAGTATCCACGGCAGCTGTCATTTCTTCGACAACCTGAGATTCCTCAGCAATTTGATCAGCCTCAGCCTTGACGATTTCTTCGACAGGTTTTTCTTCTTCAGTTTGGTGTTCAATTTTTTCAGCATCATTGAGAACTTGGTTGTCTCCAGCAGCTTCTTCGGATTTCTCTTCATTGGCAGCTGCATTTGAGGCAGCTGGAAGTTCATCATGTTCTTCAGGGATCACAGTTTCTTCAGCAGCATCAGCGGTATCATCATCCATATTGGTTTCTTGTGGCTGAGCTTCTTCCTCATTTTCATTTTTGGTTTCCTCTTCAGCAGTTTCGTTTTTAATTTCTTCGGCGGGAGCTACTTCTTCAGCATTGGTTTCCACAGAGGAAGATTCCTCCACCATTTGAGTGCCTTCCATAGGCTGTTCTTCCACCTTCACCTCTTCTTCAGCAATAGAATCTTGAGATTCGCTCAATTTCATTGGCTCTTCTTCTTTTTCGGCTTGGTCTTCCGATTTTTGTACTTCATCATCCATTTGAGTTTCTTCGGCTTCGTTGGTTTTAATTTCTTCTTCCTCATCATTGGCAACTTCCTTTACTTCTTCAGCTTGAGGTTCCTCAACGGTTTGTTGGGCTTCTTGGGGAATTTCTTCAACTGGTTGTTCGGCAGCAACTTCTTCCATTACCTCACCAATCATTTCCTGGTTATCCGATTCTTGTGGTACGGCAACCTGCTCCTCATCATCTCCTTCAACCTCCTGGCTGGCAGCAATCAGAGTGGGCAAATTTTCAAATTCCTGATTTTGTTCGCCCGAGGCTTGTTTTTCCTCATCCTCAAATTGTTGTTCAATTTGTTTCATGGCTTCGAAAATTGCCTCTGTTATGGCTTCTGGTTCCTCTTCGTTATTCTCTTCTAGTGTTTCAGCTTCTTGCACTTCTTGTTCGCTTTTCTTTTCCTCATAGTCATCATTTTGAATTTCCATAATTTCCTGGGGTACCTCCATCATTTGTACAACGGGAGTATCAACACTTTCCAACATTAACATATCCGAACCATTTTCCAAATTACTGGCCGACAAAGAATCATCATCGGATTCCAAGGCCAAATTTTGTAATGATTGTTCTTCTTGGTTCATGTTATTGCTGTTGGTTGGTACCAACAGATACATATCACTTTGGCCCTCTTCGACGGGTACCAATGTCATATCATCATCACTAATTTCACTATCACTTTGTTCTTTTTGTTGTTGTTCGTGCACTTCGGGTTGATAACTTTCAGCCTCTAGGGCCAATTCTTCATTGTACTCCAATTGTTTATCATTTTGTTGTTGTGGTTGCAATTCATTATCGTTACTATGCTCGATGGCCAAACGTTCCAGCGACATAGACACTGCATTATCGATTTGTATGGCTACTAGGCACAGGAAAAGACCCGATATTAACGCGAGTTTTGTCGACGACGATGACAACGGCGAAGATCTCCTTCTGGCAAACATCTTTGCGAGATCTGTTACTAAACACTAATGAGACATGTCCCATAGCTTGGTGTGTGCTTTTATACTTCGGCTGGGAAAGTAAATCCCAAATTGACTATTTTTTTTTTTGTTTGGTATTTTCGTATCGTGTTTTTGTTACTCTCTTCGCATTTGTGTGTGAGTAGGAATCATGTCTGTCTGTCCGGCCATACGTTTATCCATAGCACTAGCTAGATGGCTGGCCACAAAAAACGACAACAGTCATACGGCACAGCGTACAACAAAAATACCACAACAACAACATCGACAGCAACAACAACAATGGCTTATACACATGCCTCGGTTATTTTGGCCGCATTTAATAACGTCAACAACAACGCATACAACAACAAAAAACGGCAATTGCTAGTGCTCCGTCTGTCGATCGCTAGTTCGTTTGTTCAACAACAACACCACCAACAGCAGCTGTCGTCGCCGTCACCACCGCCGCCACAGAAGAAAAGCAGCAAATGTGTGTATTGTTATGTATGTAAATAAGAGCTTTTGTACGCGTGCGCATGCGCTTATGGGCCCATCTGTGTGAACATATATCTCCATATATCCATACGGAACGTATCCATCGGTTTGGCCATCCGTGCGTCCGTCCGTCTATTCATCCATGTGTTATGTTCCGACAATAGCAGCAGCAACAACAAACAATGATTAATCTTTTGTTTGTCTCTATGTGTGTTTCTTTCTTCGTTGCTTTTTTTCTTCTTCCTCATTGTCGTCGTTTTTTCTCAAACTCTCCATTCTTCATCAAGTGTTACTCTTAAGAGCCACTCTTATGCCACTTGGGCGTCAAACAGTGGATTTATAATTGATTTTCTATTCCCATGGGTATTTCCCATTATCTTCCCCCAAAGAAAATTTGTTTTTATCTTTTTAGCAGAATTTCTGCAAACGAAGCTTTGGTGATTGAGCAGCCAAAAGATAGATTAGTTTATATTTTAGTTATGATTGATAATAATGAAACATATGTATCTTTCTTAAGTTAAATTTTATAGACAAGTAAATTGTTATATGGCTAAAGAGGGTACCATACTTATTTTGCTCCTTCATCCTTGAAAAATTCTTCAGCAGCTACAACTGCGAAATTCTCAGTAGGTTCACACATTTTCTGATGGAGAGGCATGGCTTCCTCCTAATGTTTGATTTTCTCAATTATTTGACTTTCAGCAGTATCGGATTCTACTTCGGATTGAGCTTTGATTTCTTCTTTATTATCAGCTTGAATTGCTTCAGAAGATTGGTTACAGCTCGCGTTTTACTTCCACTACGGAATGAAGCTCCTCGTTTGGTTGATGCGGTCTTAAACTTGTCCAGACTCTGCAACTTTTCCTTTAGTAAGTTCTTTATCGACAGGAGGTACTGCTTCTTGTTTTTCAATGGTTGGTTCAGAGGACGTTTCCTTATTAATGGATTCTAATTTTGTGTAGTCGACTCTGACGTGTGTTTGTTCGTAATTGCGATAACTATGTTACCTCTGGTAACACATTGAAAAAAAAATCAATAATGGATTTGATCCACGTAATATTTTTAACAACCGAAGTTATTAAATTTTAATACATTTAAGAAAATTACATAGCTAAAGGTATCTGAAAATTTGGTTCTAGATTAAACCCATATCATGTCTGTATATCTGGCTGGTTACCCCCTGATAACTCTGAAGTGATGGAGTGACGGATTTGATGCATTCTTTGCACTTTTTTAGATTTAAATCACGTTCGATATTCAGATTAAATTAAATTTCTGATTACAATATTCTATCTTGTATCTATTGTACTAAATTTAATTCCATATAGAACTTTTCATACATTTGAATCCTTTTTTTAAAAATCACCTAATTATCACAGTGACCTGCAGTAGTCAGTAAATTTTAAGTTAGCACGGCCCTTTATAGGATGAACTTTAGAAACACAGCATTCTATACCCTACATACCAAAAGTTCTTCCATACCACACTAAAATTAAATTCAACTTACACACCAATATCGACCATAAATCAAAATTTGAGTACCACTTATTACTTTTGTTCTTCGGCATCGGGGCACATTCGACAATCGCGTTTTCGATATGAAGCTCTCATCGTACATCACTGGCTTCGATACATAGGTATCTAATATCAAAATAAATAACTGTCGCAAAGTTTGAAATCTCTAGCTAATAAACTTTTTTAGATGCACGGTTTTTTGTATTTCTACAGATGTTTTTGTAATATTTCCATTCCATTTCGTAATTATTTCTTGTTTAAAACTTGTAATATTTTAAGGCAGTATTATTAACAAGTCGCTAATTACAATGTATATTCTAATAAAAATAATTAAAAATATAATGATTTTAGAAAATTATAGAAATAAATTAAAAAACTATAAAAAGAACCTTCGAGGTAGATTCGGCATTTTGAATTGGGGCACATTCGGCCATATGCAAACGTGCTTGGATTGACGAAAATGCGATAGAAAAAAAGGTGCCCAGTCTCCCCTACGTATTTCCAATTTTACCCCCATATCTCAACACTACACACCAATTCTGATGGCAACAGAAATCTAGCTTTATACTAACTTATTACTTTTTGTACTCTTGTAGTTCTTATGTCCAAAACTATTTCCAAATTTCGCGTTTCGAGCTCTATAAGATCACCCAAATCCAAATTTAGTACACAATATTATGAATTTTCATAAGTTACCCACCTCAACAATCCAATAGAAATCAGATTTATTAATTTTTGTATTCCAGCCCGATTGTACTCAATTCACCTAAATCCAAATTGTACCATTTAGTACATATAAGTACAAATTTATTCGAAATTTCAAAATTCCTCCTCTATTGGTTCAGCTAAATCCAAATTTAATACAATTTAGTACACATAATCATTTTTCAATTTTAGGATTCCAGCCCGATCGGTTCACCTAAATACAAACTGTAACAATTTTAGTACACATAAGTACAAATTAACAAAACTGCCCACATACCTCAATCCTACACTCCAACAATAATCTTAATTAGTAATTTTGGGATTCCAGCTCTATCCAAATGCAAATTACATCAAATTCAGTACAATTTATATTGCATTTTTCCATTACTCTCCCATAGAAATCTTATTTCACAATTTCAGGTGAACCCTATCGGTTCACCCTTAATCCAAATTGTACAAAATTTATTACTCATTAGTAGAAAAGTTCAAAACTTCCTATACCTCGAACTCCAAATTTTAGGATTCCAGAAAACCCCGACCATTTAATTCTAAATATTTTTATTCCAACTCTAGCCTGTCGTAAGTGATGGTGCTGCCATCTATTGCTACATAGAAACAACTTCTCCATTTCTGTGATGTTGTCAATGCTTATTTAGAGTTGTCATTTTCTTGTGAATGACACTTTCTTCTGCCTTTTCTAGTTTGTATTACCCGCATGTGTTGATGTCGAGGTTATATATTAGAATATTAAACGAGTGCTGATGTATTTCATCAGAAGGGAGATAGATTGTGGTTTTCGAAGTGATTTATTACAAATATTTCAAAACGACTTTAGAAGATTTTTTCCTCCTCTAATGCGATTCGAACCCGGGACCCATTGGTTTGTAATGCACTACGGCACCACATTTTAGATATATTACCCAACTGATCTTCATTATGATGTCGATTTATTTAAATCTGAAACGAGCTCGGATGCATTTCATCTTCTTATAAATATTTCATCTTATTATAAATATTTCATCTCATTATAAATATTTATTATATTTTTCGCCATATTTTATATACATTATCCAAATGTTCATACCCAACAAAACATTTAAAAATTTATTTTAACCCTTTCAGTGTCAAAAAAAATGCTTGTCTAAAATTTTGTATTTAAGATCATATAAAGGCACAGAGTTTAGGAAAAAAGGCATTTTTATTTCAACCCTCGGACAGTTTTATCTGTCTTTCAGCAAAACCAAAAACATCAATTATAACGGTACATAGGATAACCGAAAAATCGCAAAGAAAGAGAGTAATTTTAAATGTCGAATATATTCGACAAAAACACTGAAAGGGTTAACATTTTGTTGAAATCTAATAACTTGATTTTATTATGAGCTCTCTAATGCTCAAAATACCAAAAAATTGGGATACCGTTATATTGACAATGGTAACCCAAAATATCACAGAGTTAATTCACTTTCAAAAGTACCCAAAGTACCGAATGGAGGCTATATGGATATCTGGGCAACATTTATACTTTTTTGGAAGAATATTTCCTATCCAATGACAATCTCCGAATTACAATAATATAAAACTACTTTAATTAGGTTGGGGGAAAAGAAATCCATTATTTTTATATGAATTGTAGGACTTTATTTAACATGCTTCGGAATGTCCGAATTGGAACAAATATGCACCGTTTTGTTGCCATTTTAAAGGTAACTTCATAATGCCTCTCTCATAGAAGTCCTGCTCTCTGTTTGGTAGTAGTCGATTTTCACAATCCTCCCTAGATTAGATACCAATTTATTATCATTAAAGAAATTTTGCCATGAAGCAATTCATAATAAATAATCCCCTTCTAGTCCCACCAAATGCATATCAGAACCTTCCTGGCCGTTGGTCCTGGTTTGGCCACCGTTTCAGTTGCTTCACCGCTCTTTGACCACTATCGTTTTCGCACAGGGTTATCGTATGTGATCCATTTCTCATCTACAGTCACCATCCGTTTATGAAATGGGTCTATCTCATTCCGTTTGGCCAAGGCTTCGAGGATGGAAATTCGATCGATCCTATTTATTTCTGTTTATTGGTGTGGCGCCGAAACATCTAGCTTCTTTTTGAATCCAGCTTTGTGTAAATTGTTTAAAACAGTTTTATGGCCGATTTTTAGCTCCTGGGCAATGTTACGACTGCTAACATGCCGGTCAACATCGGTCATTTCGCCGATTTTATCGACATTTTCATAATGGCTTTCTTTTTTCCCAACCTAATATTTTGGGCGAAAAACATACCCAAACTCTCTAAAATACGGACAACTGGAAGGTGCACCCCTAAAAAAAAGCAGACGGACGGACGGACGGACATGGCTATATCGAAATAAAATTGTATCATCTATAGGATATCCGGTAAATATTTTGTTTCCTAAAACAAATGATGCTGAAATTTCGTCTCATTTTTCATATTCTAAATACATTTATAAATCATTTTACCATCTGCAAATGTTTGTTTGTAAAGTATTGAAATTTGATTACGTCATTGTACATCTTTCCCAATGTCCTTGAGTAATTACTCTTCCGACATTATACGCATAAATATTTTTTTTTATGTTCAAATATACTGTTGTGCACATATTATTTAACCTATATATTTAAATGGTAACAAAACAAAAATCATTTCCGCTTATCTACTTTATGATGAATTGACAAAAAAAGCAACGTCTACATCAGATAATTGTCACATTTAATTGCCGACCATTTAACCACTGTGCTTCGTAACGACATTGTTAATATGGTCGTTAG